CCCTGAAATTTGACCTTACGGCATGCGTGTGTGTGAGACTGAGTACAGGTGGGCACTGGATTGTCCAAAGCGAGGGAGGTTGCCCTTAATGGTGGCCCAGCCCGGTTTATATACAAAGATTACTCTACTAAAATTGGCAAGGTTGTTGGTCTTTTTGTTTGTTTTGTTTTCGTAATGAAACAGCTACACCTGGGATGATGTCCATCAAAAGTTTCCCTTTGAGACTTTCAAATTTGATAACAGATGGGAGGAAAAAAAAACAGGAAAAAAAAAGTGAAAGCAAGATAGCACACACTCAGTGTGATGCTTTTTTTAGTTGATAAGATGATGCAGCTGAACAGTGCACTGAATCACAGAACTCAGAGCTTAGAAGACTCCCAGGAAAAGCTAAGACAATAAAAATTTAAAATCAGAATTGCTTGATTAACAAACAAAATCATCTCAACATTGATATACTTCTGTCACATGTACTGCTGCTCCTGTACAGCTATATGTTGTGGATGGCCTTATCATCCACTTATTATGTTGTGGATGACCTTTAATACCCTAAATCTTTAGGCTATTTTTCTCATCTAGCCCTCCTCATATCTTCCAGATAACCTGGATGAGCAGGGGAGGAAATCGAGTCCACTACTAGCTCTATAAACAAACCCTATTTGAATTTCCCTGTTGCAGAGGAAATTGTAACTTATCTCCTTGGTACCGGGACTTCTTGCTCCATTTCACATGCCTCTGACTTTCTGCACATTGCCTTGTCTTCTGAAGGTATGGGTACTTCAGGATAATCCACCCCACCTCCTGTAACAACTTCCCTATGTGCTTCACACGGTCCTATTTCTGATTATTCTGTTTTTCTTTTAAGCCCTACTGCTCCACTTCACTTGTCAAGCAAAGATTTCTCATTTAAACTAGGATGTGCCATTATTATTACCCCGACTGAATGTTTACTGATGTTTCACCAGTGCATCAGGAAGAATTCATCTCTCTATGCATAGACACCTATCTCTCCAGACCCCTCTTTTCTTCAGGACATCTTAGTGCAAGTGTCTTCCCAGATTTGTCTTCTCACACTAATGAAGCAGGTCGCATGCTAAGTTATGAACCTCATACTCAAATAGGGAAACGCCTCTCCTGTGTGTTCCTCATCATCCTATCTCAAAGAAAGCTGAGGAAGGTATCTGACTGGTAACTGATTCCCTGCTGCAGCCCCTATGGATGGTGAACCTTGTGACCATCTTTCATTGAACAGCTCCTTTATCCCATGTCCTGATCTCCAGAATGTACCCTTGCTCAATCCAGATCTTATCTTTTCTGTAGATGGCTCTTGCCTTTGTGACTCAAGTGGAAAACTTGCTTCCAGATATGCTGTCTGTGATGCATGATATATTGCAGTATATTTCCTCTGTACAAACTGCTAAACTTGTTCTTATCTGTGCCTGTGTTATGGCACATAGCCAATCTGCAGCTATGTTCACCAACTCCTGCCTTGTGTTTGGTGTTGCGTATCATTTTGGTCAGCTCTGAAAACAACATGCTTTTCTTATGTCAGCAGGTTCCCATGTGAAGGATAGATGTTATGTATGTGGATGCTCTTTTACAAGCCTTTCTACTGTCTTCTTTAGCTATTGTTTTAAATGTCAGTCTGCCATAACTCTATTCCACCCATTCCATTTGGCTGGAATAGAGTTAATTTTCTTTATAGTAGCTGGTACCACATTGTGTGTGCATCATGGTTTTGTGATTTTTTCTTATCAGTATTCCACATCATAACATCATGTAGAGCACCGGGAGTTGGGAGGGAAGATTTAGGTTGGATGTCAGGGGGAAGTTCTTTACAGAGAGAGTGGAGAGGTGCTGGAACAGGCTGCCCAGAGAGGTTGTGGATGCCCCATGCCTGGAGGTGTTCAAGGCCAGACTGGATGGGGCCCTGGGCTGCCTGGTCTAGTATTAAATGTAGAGGTTGGTGGCCCTGCCTGTGGCACAGGGGTTGGAGATTCATGATCCTTGAGGTCCATTCCAACCCTGACCGTTCTGTGATACTGTGAGTTAAAGTGTTAACGCTCAAGTTCCGGGCATCTGTCTGGAAGAGAAGAAGAGCTACATACCCCAGGGGGCTTTGCAGTCATAGAAGAGATCTAACCCCTGGCAAGGTCACCTGATGTGCTCTTCTTCACCTCCCCGCTGCTCAACCGGACTGCACATCTCACCTGAGCATTATGGTGAGGCCTATCCACCTTTCGGACACTTGCTCTCATTATATTTGATTTATTGGCTTCAATTCCAATTATATTGTATTGTAGTGTATTATCTTGCATTCCGATACTATACTTAGTAAATTAGTTTGTTTCTCCTCAGATCGTTGCCACTCTTTTAATTATTTTGGGGTTCCCTGTTTCCCTTTTCTGGAGGCACAGATTTTGTGAAATCCCTCTGTCACGCTAGTCACAGAACTGGGTTGAACCAGCCCGTAAACCATTGACAGTGTGTGTTGGATTGAGGAGGAAAATAGTGTTGATAGCACACTTATGTTTTAATTGTTGCTGAGCACTGCTTCCTCTAAGTCAAAGATGTTTTGGCTTCTCAAGCTACCTTGCCAGCGTGGAGCATGGATGTGCACAGCTGTTCTTTTCTTTCTCTCTTTTTTTCTTTTTCTTTTTTTTTTCTTCCTTTTTTATTAAACTATCCTTAGTCCATGAGATTTCACAATTCTCTTTAAGCTGTGGGGGAGGGGCGTAAGCAAATGGCTGTGTTGTCTGCTGAGCTGCCTGCCAGATTAAACCATATCAGCTTTTTCAAGAAAGGACCCAAAATAAGGACTTCCTGTTGCACAAGTTGCATCAGAACCAGAGACATTGTCTACTCCTTGAGGCAGCTGAATAATGTGATGATTATTTGATAGGTATAAACCAGACTCCAGCACTATGTGGTGAGCTGTAACTCTGACACTGCCACAGTCAGGATGTACCTTTTTCAAACATTTTTGTCAGCTTTCTATGATTCCGTAGTTCTTTGGAGATGAATTCTAAAACCATCAAAGGTGGCAACTGTGACAGGTAGCTACATCCCATACACCTATATCCCCCCATACACTTTGCTACCTGTAACCATCCTGCATCGTTGCAGATTTCTGGGTAGTATTTTTAAATAGTTATTTAACTTTAGACAAAACCAAAAACATATGCAAGAGACAATGTAATAGGATTGGTCTGCTGTGGTTTAACCCAGCAGGCAGCTAAGCAACACACAGCTGGTTACTCACTCTCTCCATGCACAACAGGATGGGGAGAGAACTTGCGGGTTGATAGTAAATAGCTTCATAGTAAAGAAAGAAAAATGGAAAATAAGAAACAATGACATGAAAAATACCACAAAAGATGCAACACACAATGCAATTGCTTACCACCCACCAACAGATGCCCAACTAGTCCCGAGCAGTGGCAGCTAACTCACCCAGTTTTACTGTTGAGCACAATGCCATACAGTACAGGACATCCCTCCGCCCAATTTCAGTGTCCCAGCTGTGACCCCTCCCAGCTCCTTGTGCTCCCCCAACCTCCTTGCTGGCAGGGCAGTGTGAGAAGCTGAAACACTGCTGGCTCTTTGTAAGCACTACCCTCTAACAACAAAACCATCAGTGTGTTACCAACATTATGTTCCTCCTAAATCCAGAGCAAAGCATCAGTGGAAATGACGATGCAGGCCCATGCTACTTCTTATGAAGATGTCACACAAGGAGATGACCTGGCTGATCACGATGACCTTGCCTGCAGGCTTCAAATTTTGTTGTTAATTATTTTTCTGACTCAGATTCACTTTCTCTTTCAGAACTTTCATTATTATAGAACAATGAACCTATAACTGTGAAGGAAGAGTCCTGGAGGACTCTTGGCTCTGCAGTGGTTGCCAGTTATACCCAATACTTTATGGTCGTGTCTCATTCCGTTTTACCCTTCCTTGCTTATGTGTCATACCGCATGGCTCACATTAGCAAGAGAGAATTACCACTGCAGTACAGCAGAAATCCAAAATTTTTCTGTAAAGCACAGCAGTATTGCTGTCCATACTGTACCTGTCCATAACAGTTGCCTAGTCCATAACACAGGCCAGTGTACAAAACCAACACCTGCAGCACATCCCAAACATCAGATACAAGTATATTTCGAACACAGCAGATACACGTCCTCCAGATGGCCAAACACTGTAATTCAGATAACAGTGCTTGTTGTCCTTTATGAGTAGTCAGGGTTGCAAACATACTGATGCCACTACTACAGCCAAGAAACTTTTAAGAGACTTGATACTTTGATTTGACATTTCTTTGATATAGATAGTAATCAAGGTGCTCATTTCACAAGCCAAATTATTAAAAATATTTGCACAGCTTTAAACATTTAGCAACACCTATGTTATGCCTCAGCCCAGCAGTGCAGAAGGAAGAATCTCTGACCTGAGATGTGAATTGGCCAAGGTATGTTAAGAAACAGGACTGAAGCAGCCAGAAGCACTGCTGCTGACATATATGCAACGCACAGTAAACAGGACGTACAGCCTGTCACCTCAGGAGATTCTTAAAGGATGGCCTATGTGCCTTCCTCATTCACCACCTGAAGAACGGCATGAACTTGGCCTGTGATTACCAGGCGTTTTAACAGTGCAGATCCCTAAAAAGCGTGGGATATCTGTCTATCCTCAGGTGAAGGAAGCTCTCTTAGTGCCCTCCTTCGGACCGTGCCACGCTCTGCAGCTGGCAGACCGGCTCTACACGAGGCGGCCAACAAGTACCTCGGGTCCGAGGGGAGGGGAGGAACACGCACCCTGAGAGGATCCCATCCCAACCGCCCCTTCCAACGGCTCGGCAGGGAGGTGGGGACAGGCAGTAGGACAGCGCGGCCCCTTGGAGCGGCCATCAACAGGAAGCGCCAGGAAGCGGGCACGTGAGCCCTACACTTCGCACCAAGCGTTTGAGAGGCTTTAAAGCCACCAGGGGCGGAGCGCGGCAGCATAATTATAAGTATTTAATATTACTCTATTCGTATTAAGCACCCAGCGTTCCTCACCGGCAGCCCCGAATCTCCGCGACAAGCTCCTCTCCTCTCGGACCCACCCACCGCTGCGGTGCGGGCCGCCCTCCGGATCCCGCCCACGGAGGCAAATGAGCGCCCTGACGGCGTGCCGAGCGGGCTCCCGCTGCTGGCAGAGCTGGCTCTCCCAGGTCGGCCCCGCTTCGCGGCACCGCAGCCCCCAGCGAGTAGCAGGGGCGTTCCCGGCCCGCCGCCTCTCCTCCATGGCCGCCACCATCCGCTTCTCACCAGCCACCCGCAGCCTCTTCGATGAGCCGCTGGGCATCACCGTGCAGGGCCTCAGCCCACGGCAGCAGGTCACCCTGCGGGCGTCCCTGCGGGACGAGGGGGGCGAGCTGTTCGAGGCCCACGCCCGGTACCAGGCGGCGGAGGACGGCGAGCTGGACCTGGCCCGCTGCCCCGCGCTGCCAGGAGGCAGCTTCAGCGGCCTGGAGCCCATGGGGCTGCTGTGGGCGCTGCAGCCCCGCAAGGCCTTCTGGCGGCTGGTGAAGAAGGACGTGCAGACCCCTTTCCTCCTGCGGCTGGAGGTGCTGGAGGGCCACGGGGATGACCCCGGGCGGCTCCTGGCCCAGGCTCAGCACGAGCGGGCGTTCCTGCGCGACGGGGTGCGCAGGGTGCCGGTGCGAGACGGGAGGATCAGGGCAACGCTCTTCCTGCCCCCC